AAATGTCTATTTTTTGTAATTTATGATCGCAATTCCAAATTCCGTGCTAATTAGCACGGAATTTCGTTTAAGGGATAATAAATAAATATAATATTCACATTCCATTTAGTATGTTTTAGATTTAAAAATAAAATGGCTCTGCAACCTAAAAATTTTTTGACATCTAATGCTGCAACTTTTACAACTAAGGCTCCGAATGAATTAACGATTCAAACTAATTCAAATTGAATCAAATCACCTAATTTTTGATTACGTTTTATAATTTGATTTGAATTGATGCAACTGTATTATTTTTTATTTGTCACATTTTCATTATTGTTATCAATTAAAAACTACCTTACTTAGTGGGCTGGAATTGTCAAAATTGATTGGCCTAGACTCAATAGCTGAAATTGGGTGCGAGTTTTTAAAATAAAGTAGATTGATTTATATGTTTGTATTTATAAAAAAATTGGGCTATCATAGTATTGGACGAAACTACATTTTTTCAAAAATAGTTTCAACCATCATCACTAAGTAATATCCTTTTATCAATTAAAAAATTTTTAAATTTGAAAATATACACAATCTTGGTTTGGCAGATAGTTTGGGTAATTAGAAATTTTTTTCCAAAAATTCATTATATATTAATATCAAGAAATCTGTTATATTGAAAAGAATTTTATTATTATTATAGTTTTAGTTCATCAAATCGATTAGTATCCATTAAATCAAGATAAATTGAGATTCACTGTGTAAATTATCAAATTAAAAATATAAAGTTAATGCAACATTAAAAAAATATTTAGGAATCAAGTTTGATTCAAATTGAATCAAATCAAGTACAGAATGATTTGAATTGATTTTTTGGAGTCTTGGGAAGTAATTGTGAAAAATAATATTGTAGTATTAGTCACTAGGAAATTTACTCAAAATGGAAAAGGACTATACTTGTCTAAAGTATAGCCCAATCCCAAATAGGTGAGGTGTGTCTAATGTGTCCACCCAATTCATGAAATTCAAAGGGTTTGGATTTGGGACTTTTTATGTTTGGGCAGCAAGTATAAAAAGGACATAAAACCTTCTATATCAATTACAATTTAACCTTGCTTTACCCATAATTTCATATGACATAAAATTGCTTTACCTGATTTTGGATATACACAACTTTATCAAAATCTGATGTTACCCCAATTATAATAACCCAAGGTCCTGGTTTAATATGGGTTTCGCTACTAGTTAATTTACTTATTAATTGAAACTATTGTTTTTCAAGCACATAAATTTCAGAGTTTTTTTATATGTTAAAATAAAAATGAAAAAAAAGCCTATGTTTAGTTTATTATAAAAAGTTTTGTACTTGATAATATTAATATATATAAAATGGAAAATTTAAAATATAAAAGACAAGTTTTAAGACAGAGTTAGGAAAGGTTTGTGTACAGATAAGTAAAATATAATGATAAATATAAAATATCAAATTGATAATCATATCAGTTGAATTTAGAAAATGAATGAAGTAGGATAACTAATAAAGTGATCTATAATTGCAAATTACAATATACTAATATTTATTTTAAATAAAATATTTGTTCAGCGAGAACCGAAATAAGTGCCGGTTCGAGTACAGTATTCTTTGTTTTGACACTTTGCACATAAATGACTCTTGTGAGGTCCATCACCATCCGATAGTACCAGTGGTTCATAGTTATAGATCGTGCTTTTATTCTCATCATCTTCCTTGCATCGCTTGCACTTCTGCATGTAAAAATCGTTCTGCTTCAAGTGATTTGCTGGTGTTTTATCTATAAACTTTTGAAGGGACATCCATGTGTAAGCGCTTACCCATTTCTTTTCACAATTCAAACATTTCCAATTGCCAAACACTCTGTAATGTTTGTTCCATGCAAGATGGCAGATAATCTCGACAGTGGGACTTTCCTGATTTTCCTGTTAGGACAAAGTTTAGTATAAAATATAAACTAATAACAAATTTCGTTGCATATTTTGTGATCAATTTGACTTACTTTCACATCCATCACTGATGTGTACAGGCAGAAACTCGTGATTGTCTTCCTTTTATGGCATTTATTGCATTCTTTTCTGAAAAATTCGCGCTGCTCTACTAGACCCTTTTTACTTTCTAGATACTTTATAAGTGATTCCCGGCCCAATAATTCTTGCCACTTATTTTCACAATATGACGATATTCTTTCATCTTCCGACTTTTCTTTACATACCCAATTTCCCATGATAATGTATCCTTTTTTATTGACCAAGTATCTGACGATACGGATCATCTGTGTGAGCGAATAATAAATAATAAGAAATTTGATTGCATTGAAATATTTTATAACGAATTTGACCTACTTTTTCAGTTGATTTCTTCATCCTTTCTACCTGGCGAAAATCATTCATCCAAAGGGGTGCCTATTAAACAACCAAAGACATCAGTTAGCATGACTTATAACCAGGAAAGATTATTCCTACCGGATATAACAAATTACACATACCCAATCTCTGATGTTTGCTGTAAGTATTTTTTTTTGTTCCGTGTTGGACTGGAGACGGTAAAATTCAATATTACGATTAGAACTGGATGGTTATCAACGAAGATTCAATATTTCCCCAATATTCAGTTCTTACCAAATCTTCAGTATTTTCACAACCTTCAGTATTCTATTGAAAATCAAAGGCATAGTCGGTTAACATGACTTATTACCCAGGAGAGATGATACCTCTTAGATATAATAACAAGTTGTATATACCCAATCTCCAATGTTTACTGCAGATATTTGTTGTGGAATGATAAACTGGTGGCAAGAATATATCAATGATGTAGTCAGTTACCATGGCTTACGATCACGAAAAGTGATTCCTCTCAAATATAATAGCAAATTGCATATACCTTTTCTCCAGTGTTTGCGTTTGCTGCAGATTTTATTTTATACTGGCAAGTGGAAGGGAGTGCATTTTTCATATCACTGAAAGTCTATTAAAAAATCAAAGATGTCGTTGGTTAACATGATTATAATCTGGGAAAAGCAATTCTTTTCAGATGTATATATATTACCCAAATTTCATCATTCACTTCAGAAGTCCTTTGTATTGTGTCGTACTGGTACCAGGAAGAGATATTGATTTCCTTATCTTTGGGAGTCTATTAAAAACCAAAGATGTAGTCGATTACGATGACTTGTAACTAGGAAAAGTGATTCCTCTAAATACAATAACAAGTTGCACATACCTTTTCACCAGTTTTTGATGCAATTATTTTTTGTGCCATTTCATCTTTGGAATTCTGTTAAAAAACAAAAATGTAGTTGGTTACTATGACTTTGAGCCAAGAAAGATGATTACTCCCGGATATAATAGCAAATCGCATATACCTTTTCTTTAATTACTATTTCAAATATTATTCCCTATTAAAAATCAAAAATGTGGTTGTCACGATTTACAACCAGGAAAAATGATTCTTCCAGCCAAGAAAACTATATATAATACAAGTAAAACATACAATTTTTTCGGTGATCGGGGATTAAAATTCAACCTTTTTCTTCTTACTAAAGCAAATAACCAAAATCTCGGGGTCCTATACCACTCTGATAATAAATGAGCAATTAAATTGTTTAATTTCCGATCACAAAAGTGTTTTATTAAGCGGAAAGGTTTTATTGAATTATTGAATTGTGAAAATGTTTTTACAGAATGGAATTTTTAAGTTAATATTAATTATTAATATTGAATTTGCCTCCTCTCTTATGAGCGAAGCATTCAAATATTAAGTAATTAATAATCAACTTATTTAACGTATAATAAATTTTTAGCTAATAGTTTTGATGCATGTAACCTTTTATATTTATCGAATTTTTCAATAAAAAGTAGATCTTCAGGTAAAAACGCGGCTCAATTTTAAATGAATTAATGGATTAAGGATCAAGGATCAAGGATTAATTCGTAATACTTTTAAAAATGAGTGATCTGCATCGATTTTAAATAAGGATCGGCGGGGATAATTACATTAATAAAACGCGTATATCTCAATAATCTCCAACCAATTTTCCAAAAAAAAATAAAAATGACTAACCAACCCTTATTAAAAGTAAATTTAATTTCATTAGGTTCAATCATTCCTCATTTACATTATGGACCAAATTTAC